TACCCACTGTATGTGTGTGTGTGTGTGTGTGTGTGTATATATATATATATATATATTTTTTTTTACATTTAATTCATTACTGCAAATTAATGCAAAGCTGTATTTTCAGCATCATTACTCCAGTCTTCAGTGTCACATGATCCTTCAGAAAGCATTCTAATATACTGATTTGCCACTCAGTTATTGTCAGTTATTATTAATGATGTTTTTTTTATTATTAATGTTGAAAACACATGTTTTTGTTGCTTAATATTGCTATGGAAACTATGACATATTTTAAGGATTTCCAAACCTTTGAATGTTTCATGGTTTCAACAAAAATATTAAGAAGCAAAAACTCGTTTCAGCTTTAATAATAAAAAATCTTTCTTAAGCACCAAATCAGAAAATTTCTAATTTTAAAAATTATTCCAAACTTTTGACCTGTAATGTATATATGCAAAATACCCTCTTAAGGTTGGCCGTTAGGAGGATCTTCAGTAGCTGTCATTATACACTACATTGACCCTGTTTACCCCTGCTGTTAAAATACAGTGCGTTTCTCTATTCATAAATTACACTTCTGTGCTGTTGTCTGTAATTTTGCACCCCTGCTGTGATTCCAGTCGGACATTTTGGATGTGAATCAGATTTTCAAGGATCTTGCAGTGATGATCCATGATCAGGGTGAAATGATCGGTGAGTACAATCTGTCTCTAATCTATACCAGCGGTCTCCAGCCCTGCTCCTGCAGATTTCAGCTCCAACCCCAATCAAACACAGCCCCAATCAAACACAGTTAATCAAGGTGTTCAGAGTTACTTGATAATGACAGGCAGGTGTGTTGGAGCAGGTTTGAAACCAAAGTCAGTAGGAAGGTAACTCTCCAGGAGCAGCATTGGAGATCCCTGACCTATACTTCACCACACCTCTGTTATTTAAATGGGGATAATTCAGCCAAAAATGAAAATTCTGTCATTTTTTTCATGCATTATTCACACAACCTGTATTACTTTCTTATATGGAGCACAAAAGGCATTTTTTTAAAGAATATACTTAATGTTTTAATTACAATTAAAATCATATGGATTTGGAACGATGTGGTGGTGATTGTGAAATGGTGGCAGAATTTTTAGGTTATTAGCAGTGTTTAAAATTTAGTGTGCATTCAACAGGTTAACCATATAACGTAGTATTAAACTTACACTGTCATATTTGATATGCAGATTTATAAGGCCTCTAAATTGTCAACATGATCAAAACTTTTCTTTAGAAAACTGTTGTTCCTCAACTTTCAGGTTTACTTTCTTAGGTTTACTTAATTATCCATCCATCATTTTTAGAAAAAAAACACGTGTTAAAATGTGCATATTTTTGCTGAGTTTGGGCCTCTGTAAAACTTTGACGTTTTTTTTTCCACCGTAAGTATGAGCTCCATATTCTCAACCATAAACGCATGCACACTTTTATTTTTATATTTTTGTTTAAATGGAGCAATAAACCGTTTCATTTAATTCTGACTCTTTCATATTTTAGGCATTACAGGTTTAAATGGCTATATGACACATCTGAGTTTACTGTCAAAGCATCTGAATCTTTCCAGACTGATACATGTCAACTGTTTTGATTCTCATCTGTTCTTGAATTTCTTTAGATTGCGGCATGATGTGTTGCTCTTTAAGCATGCTTCACTTTGTCAGACAGGTTCTATTTAAGTGATTTCTTGATTCAACAGGTCTGGCAGTAATCAGGTCTTGGTGTGGCTAGTGAAATTTAACTCCGCTTTCTAAAATGTGCTTAATTGCAGTTCTTTCATTATTTAACAACTGATACATGTCAACTGTTTTGATTCTCATCTGTTCTTGAATTTCTTTAGATTGCGGCATGATGTGTTGCTCTTTAAGCATGCTTCACTTTGTCAGACAGGTTCTATTTAAGTGATTTCTTGATTCAACAGGTCTGGCAGTAATCAGGTCTGGGTGTGGCTAGTGAAATTTAACTCAGCTTTCTAAAATGTGCTTAATTGCAGTTCTTTCATTATTTAACAGGAGGGGCAATTAATTTTTCACGTAGGGCTATGTAGGTTTGGACAGCTTTTTTCCCTTAATAAATGAAATCATCATTTAAAAACTGCATTTTGTATTTACTTGCATTATCTTTGTGTAATATTTAAATTAGTTAGATGATCTGAAACATTAAAGTGTGGCAAACATGCAAAAAAATAAGAAATCAGGAAGGGGGCCAACACTTTTTCACACCACGGTATATCTGTTAATAGTGTAAACTGAGTATGTTTAACATAAAGTTGTCATATCGTCTAAACACCCTGTAATCAAATAACTGTGTGATTACAGATAGCATAGAGGCTAATGTGGAGAGTGCAGAAGTGCATGTGGAGAGAGGAGCTGAGCAACTCCAGAGAGCATCTCACTATCAGGTACAGCAAGAGCTTCAGCAGTACACCCAAACACAGCTATGGCATTTTAGATGTGTATCAAAAATGTGGCGAGATGGTAGAATCCAAAGCCATGCATGTAGCATACATACATATTTAAAGATAATGAGACTATTTTTTGTCTTTCACTGTAGCAAAAGTCTCGTAAGAAGATGTGCATCCTGGCAGTGGTCCTTGCCTTATTGGTCGGTGTTATCGCCCTTATCATCTGGGCGTCGACAAAGTGAAGATCCTTCCTCTACCCTTCCCCTTTTTCTCTCATTTCTTTATTTAATTTATTTTCTCGCTCGCAAACCCAGTGCCATCCACATGGGAAGGGAGGCTCTCAGCAGCACCTGTAGGTCCATCTCTGTAGTTTTGCAGGGTTAGATACAGTATGAAGTGGCTTAAGCGAATGTAACATTCCCTAGACTCTCCCCTCCGGACCCTTAGTTCTTAATGAAGGAGGATGAGCTCTCGGATGGGGTGGGAAAAAGTGATATAATTGATTCTTGTGATATATTTCTAGCACTAACACTACTTTACATTTCTTAATAAATCCAGGTTATTTCATTTTGAGAATTTCATTGGATTGCGGATAAGGTGTAAAAATGACATTTTGATGACTGAAGTTTTGACTGAATCTTACTGTAATATAATTTTGGCTTTAGATGTTTTGTACATTGTACATTTCAACTCTTTCAGATTTGTCAAGTCACTCCAAAGGTTAACAACAAACTGCTTAGAGGAGCTGCAAAATTAATCGTACATTAGACACCATGTTATTAATACCGTAAACCAGTAGACTAGTAGAACTGCAAATATGAAGCAGCAATGATACTTAAAGCTCAAACATTTCTCAACTTCAGTTTCAATACTGTTACCGGTGTTAACTGATAGGTTTATTATACAGGTCTATTATATGGTGGTCATATAGCTGTAAATGTGTTGTATAAGAACTCATAATCAATATTATGGCTGAAATTGAATTGTATATTACAACATTAAAAGTCTGCACAGTACATAAAAATTATGTAAAAAGATTTGCACCCATACTTTTAGAACATGCAAAAAAGGATTGTCCCTTTTCTTTTTTAAAAATTGATTTATATGACTTCTATGAGTATGTGAGTAAAGAAATGTGTCTTAATCAAACCTGCCTTTCTGATTCTCTCTTAGAAATGTTGAAGCCACATTTAGCAGTGGTGAAATAAGCACTGAGAATGTGAGCAGTCAGGATATGCTATATATTTCAGAAAGTACACTGTGTACACTATATTAACCCAGTGTTCTCTGCAGTCTGTTGATTGGCTTTGGTTGTGTGTGCTAATTAAAGTTTATTACCCTCTAGGCTTACCATTAAAAATAGCCAAACTTTGCCAGGCAACTAGTGTAACTGTTTTGGCTTTAGACATGAATGAAACCACAAATGCTGTGGCTTTTTGAGGGCCGTTTTTTAATGGATCAGACTTAATCCAGAAATGTCATCTGGTGGACAATAATAAAAAGCCACCCAGAAACAACGAAATGGTACATTTTAGCAGATGCATAAAAAGTGCTTAACCATTCTGGCAAATTCATAGCAATACCCTGATTTCATGGCAAATGTAATTGCTGTATACATTCAGGTATGCATGCTCATAATAGAAATATTATAGACTCAACAGCAGATGTCAGTGTAAAACAAGATTTTGGGATTTAAGACATTGCTTCTACTGAGGGTATAACCCACAGTACCAGCCAAGTATTGCTATCATGCATTTCTTTTTTGTCCTGTGCATTCTTTTTTTTTCTTCTTTTTTTTTAGAACTGGTACTTTCATACTTGTTACAAAGTTAGGTAGTATGTTACAAAGCAAACTGCTACCAGTGTGATTATTTTAGAATTCCTTCTAACAAAGTTCAGCTTTCCGTTGGACCTGAAATAGTAATGTTAGCTTGAATTAAATACATATGCTTAAACCCAAATCCAAATGATTTGCTGCCATTTAACGAAATGACTAACCTTTAATTCTCCTCATAATCTGACTCAATATTATTCTGACTGAGCCTCTGCGCGAACCCAGAGATCATGATGGATGCGTTGCTCACATTCTGTGGTGGAGCAGTCAGTGGTTAATGCCAAGGAGCAGCTTTCCCTTTGCAGTCAAATGACTGATAGTTATGAAAACACAGTTTTATTATATAAATGCTGTGTGTTCTTGTGCTCTTAGTTTGTAGTCAGTGAATGATGTTTGCAAAAATAGTAATTACTCTGCAAACTATGAATCTGTGTTATATATATATATATATATATATATGTATATATATATATATATGTCCAGTGTGATTAAATTGGATGAATATGATTACAGATTGAAGAGCATCATCGGTTGTCTAAATGATTGGCCCTGCTTGCAGTGTCGGTCAGGTTAGCAGGTATGAACATGGTAAAATTCAAATGAAGCAGAACACACGGCTGTGAAATGACGATACAGCAGGGGGAATTCCTGGCTTGGTTACACAGCGCTGTCTGCCGCAGGGAAGACATTGATAAGACCTCTCAGACCAACCTTGTCTGAGATTTCCCATCAGTGCTGCTCGTAGCTGATGTCCCTCATTTCATGCTCCCCATAGCTGGGCTGCATCCTCAAACGAATCCTGGAAATGGTGTGGGATTCATCAAGCTGGTTAATGGGTATGGATATGGTTCAAGACTTTGATTTTCGGCTCTCCTCATGTGCATCTGTTGCTTAATCTGGCTCCAAACCTACAGCTGAGCTGTCACCATGAGCCCAGAGTGCTCGCTTGTTTGATCTACTTTAGTGAGTGCACCAAGAACAGGTGGCTTGTCTTTTCTGGAAATTCAGAACAGAATATTCAGGATTGAGTAATTACTGAGAGGTAGTAAACAACAGTCAAAGGCTGTTTTCTCTTCCTCAATCTAGGCCAGTTCAATTCTGGTACCAAACTTGCCCAAATCCTATACTCTGTAAGGGTGCTTTCACACCTGGCCCGTTGTTTCGGAACCTGGTGCATTTCCCCCTTAGCTCGGTTCATTTGGGCATATGTGAACACGGCAATCGCGCTCGGATCCACGCCAAAACAATCGGTCCGAGATCGCCTGAACGAGGTAGTCTCGGCTCGATTGAAAACGAACTCTGGAGCGGTTCGGTTGTAGTGAGAAAGCAATCCGATCCAACGGACCAACGAACCAGGCTATATCACAATGTATGATGGGTAATTACGTAAATTCCGTTAACAGCATTAGCTTTGTTGTTTTGCTAATAACTCAAGATGAGCCTGTGAATGTCTGAGGGTGAGCATGTCTTCACCATTCACAATCAAAGCACACTTTTTCATTTTATAATGCCGTCTTGTTGCTCTTCTTCGTAGTAGGGGCATTTTAAAAATGTTTCCAGATGAATCCTGGACTCCTGCTCAAAATCATGAATTAATATAACGACAGCTACAAAAAAAACAACAACAACAATAAGCCCGCGAAGCTGTTGTCGTTCCATCCTGATGGTTGACAGCCATGACAGCAATCTAAGTGGAATCCCGGAAAATAAACCGTGGAACTTTGACCAATGAGAGAACAGTTTACTCGCGCGTGACTTGTATTAACAAATTTGGTACATTTAGAAACTTTGCTGTGTGAAAGCGAACCCCACCAAGAATAAAAAGCAACATTGTAATAATTTGAATCCCTGTTTCGGAACAAAGCAATCGATCTACAGGTGTGAAAGCACCCTAAAGACATTCTCTTAAGCCCTGGACAAGTGTTTAAGGTTTTAAGTCTATTTTAAGCAATAAAAAAAGGAGCTATAGGGGCTTTCATAGTCCCTAGAATTATTGGCAGAAGTTCTCGCTCTTTGGTATGTTGGCACCGCAGGACCTAGGAACGTATTTAGTTCTAGGAACTCAGTTTGGGGTAACTAATTTAGCTCCTACTTCAGAGCAGGGTCTAAAACATTTCTATAGAAACTACCAGTGATGTAAGTGTACGCTAATTGGCCAAACACATACGAAACACCGGCTACCCAGCATTTTTAAAAAGCTGTGAAAAAATAGTTATCCCACAAACATGTAAAACAGCTATAGTGGTATTTGTCTACCTGTTGTCTAAACCGTTGTGTTCTTTTCCCAAGCTCAATGATATGTAACCCTGCAAGTTGTCATAGGAGATTAAGTCAGATTTTTGTGCTCTTTCAGTTGCATAAATTATGCGTTTACATTCCATTGCCGTTATCATGAAACCCATGAGACACAATTAACACAGCTCTGATCGTGGTGTCCTCCATTCAAATGTCGCGAATAAAGACGAATAAATACATCTGCTTCAGAGTTCCTGCTAGAACTCAACTAGGAAATTGGCCCGAGGGGGAAATTGGTTCTCTTGGAACCCCCATGCTGGCTAGTTCCTAGAATTGAATTCTTAGAACTACATGGTGCGAAAGCCCCTTATGTTGGGTTGTCACAGTAGTGATTTTCTGGGACATCATCTACTAGTTTCCATTGGGGTTGGTGCTGAAGCTTTTGCTCAATCTTGTACCAGGTTGTGCTATTCCAAACCAAAAACCCTGGACCAGTGCTCAAATCCTGGTACCAAACCAACCCCAAAACCTTGTTGGTATCGAACAAGAGAACCCGTGATATAGGTGGGCAGAGCTTTCACAACAGACCAAGTCAGTGGAGACATTAGCCAGTTCTGAGTAGGTGCTAGCCCCGGCCAAGCAACGGCTCCAGCTCTAGCACCACTGCAGTCATTTTGGCCTCTTTGGATTCTCTCCCAAATGGTGAATCTGACACATCTTGTGACGTACAAATCTGTCAGTACATTCTGTAGCACAGGGAAGCCAACTCTGTTCCTGGAGAGCTACCTTCCTGCAGATTTTAGTTCCAACCCTGCTCCAACACACCTGCCTGTAATTTTCAAAAAATCCTGAACACCTTGTTGACTGGTTCAGGTGTGTGTTTGCTTAGGGTCGAAGCTGGACTCTGCAGGATAGTTGCTCTCAGTAGCAGGGTTGGCTGTAGCTGTAGCATCTTGTCAAGTAATGCAGCATCTTCTTTTATAAATGATTAGAATCAGTTGTGTTGATGACTTTTAAATCCTGTTCGACCTACTTTCTCCACAGTGGTTTGATCAGTTTGATCAAGGTTGGAGCTAAACTCTGCAGGAAAGTGGACCTCGAGGGCCAGAGTTGAGAACCTCTGGCTTGTTTAAGCTGTAGCTATTAGGTCATTCTTCAGTTGTGGTTTGTATGTTGAAGCCCTCCTGTCCATCTGTGTTGAGAGTCACGATTCTTGCATGATTCTCTCTAATTAGGAGAGATATCATATTACCTCACACTAGTGAAAAAGGTGCAGAAAGATCTGGATCCAGCAAAAAAAACATCACTTCCTATTCTTATTATTTTTGAGGCCTCTTCTGCAGTGTTGGGTAATGAGGATATGCCACCTTTGAGAAAATCGCCACATTAATTGCAACAGTCACAATGACAAAATATGGCAAGCTTTCCAAAATCTTTTGACCAATATTAGTGTTTGAAAATCATTTGAATACAATCATTGCATTGCTGTTTTAAATTTGTCCTAAAAACACACTTTATCTCATTTAATGTAGCATTTAGCAAATCTCATTTAACTTGATGACTCCATGCTTTTTTGTCTGTTCCTCACAGTTTGTTGCAATATTCTGACATCGCACATTTTCTGCCATCTGTATCTTGGCCAGCAGTGCGTTCTTGGTTTTAAACTTGCCGTTCTGTCTCTCTTTAATTGAAGCTAGTGCAGAGACTCGCACTCCAGCTGCACATACCTCCTGCTTGAGCGTTACATAATCAAACCACAAGTGACTGTCAGAAGTTTGGTTTGTTGTTCAGACCTTTTCATTATAACACTCATGTCTCATTTATTTCTTCGCTTTTTGCTGGCATACACACTGGCTAACTGCATGCATTTTTGCAGCTCTGACAGGTCTAATCATGGTCCCACTGAGGGGTGAGTGAGAGGAGAGATTAAAGACTGCAATGGGACTCCAAATTTCTTCTTTCAAGGACTTTCTATTGTCCTCACAGCTTTTTTTTTATTTTATTTTATTTTTTGCAGTGGATGGTTGGTTGTGAGCAGAGAGGGACCATTGGGACTCCCTGAAGGTGTAGCACATGGGATGGGTCTTATACTGCAGCTCTGAGAAGTCTTGAATTGAATCCCAGCTGCACACTCCCCAACTACTTCATCACTGAAAAATCTGGAACGAAAGCCTTACATGCACATATATGAAATATACATGAATAGAGACACTTCATTTGCACAGCTTATAAAGAAGTGACTTACAATTAAGAAAAAACACATAAATTGGTCATAAAGGTGCTGAAAAGAAGTGCAGCATTACTAAATGTCAAGAGTAGAAGTGAACTCTTGGCAAAGAGTTAGAAATTGCAAAAAGCCCCTATATATCAGGGTTTCCCAACTCTGGCCCTCAAGGTCTGCTGTTCTGTAGAATTTAGCTCTAACTAACTCTAAGATCAAACACACCTGAACAAGTTAGTCAAGTTTTAATGTTGTTTGCATGTCTGTCTGGTGTTTTTAATATGCTTAATGACAAACCATGCTTCACAATATTGCGTGGTTTGAACTACAGCTCTCAAATGCGGTCAGAAGCAGAGTTTCTTTTTAGTAACTTTAAATTGTGCTCTTGGGCATCTCTGAGAAGTCTTGAATTGAATCCCAGCTGCACACTCCCCAACTACTTCATCACTGAAAAATCTGGAACTAAAGCCTTACATGCACATATATGAAATATACATGAATAGATACACTTCATTTGCACAGCTTATAAAGAAGTGACTTACAATTAAGAAAAAACACATAAATTGGTCATAAAGGTGCTGAAAAGAAGTGCAGCATTACTAAATGTCAAGAGTAGAAGTGAACTCTTGGCAAAGAGTTAGAAATTGCAAAAAGCTCCTATATATCAGGGT